CTTCTCAGATCACGATGTCTCGAAAATCTTAAAATCAGCGTTAAAATGTATGTCATTTCTTGGACTCAAACTAGCAGATGTGCTCCCCTGTCACTTCTCATTTCCATAACCAACTATTAACTATTCTGGAACAACTCGTTTGACGTGTTAGTAGCAACAGTTAATATATAAATGAGATATATAGGCCTATATATATATATATATATATATAACAATTGTACACATAAAAAGACAGAAAGAAAGAAAGAAAGTGTCCCTGATTCATTATGTAGGAGAAGTGAAAGAAAAAGTCATGGTCGACGAAAAAAAAAAGGTAATTTAAAAGTGTAAAAACATTAATTTACACTTTCTTCCATTTTAAAGCATTTTTTAAAACCATCCCGTATTGAAACACCAAAATCATTCTACCCAATATCATTCTTCAATTTTATTATTATTATTATTATTATTATTATTATTATTATATAAAACATTTCCAGTAGCCTATAAATAATACCGGGCCAAAATAAACCCCAACGTCACGACGCTCGGTTGTGCGTGATGACGTCATCGGCGCGCGTCCCGGCCGGGTTGATTATTTTTGGACAGGACGAACGGTGATGATTGTGTACGTTGTCATCCAGCAGTGTTTAAAGTGTCCCGTTTCATCGTAAAATCGGACAAGTGAGAAAACAGGCGAGGGGCGTGAGTGAGTTACGCGGGGAGTTAGTTGACATAGTCTGTGGGTAAGTGAGTAGTTTGTTTATGTAGACTGAAGGCAGAAAGTTCAGCTAGCTAACAGCTAGCTAACAGGCTAACCTAAACAAAATAAAGTAAACCAAAGTTAAACTTCAATAAAATAAAGATCTAAATATAGCTACCATAATCCTGAGGTCACTTCTTAACTTTATTCTGTCCTAAATGAAGTGTCATGAAGTTTTTGTGGTTGTTGAAGGTTTTCAATTCTGTCAAATGTCTGTTTATCAACTTGTTGTTTTGTAAACATTAAAACTAATGTGTGTTGGGAAACTTAAAAGAAGTTTAATGAAGTCCTAAAGGTTCTTGCTGTCTTCTTGGTTCATGGTTCAGTGTGGTGTCATTGTACAAAGCCCTGTAGAACAGTAGCAACACATGAGTTAAGTGGGCCAGTTTTGTTTATGCTAACTAGGAAAGTTGTGTTGGATAAAGTCAAGACAGCATTAAAGCTGGGGGGAGTCTGCCAGGAGGTCAAGAGTGGGTTTCACTATTAAATTAATGTTTTTTTCAGTGCGCACTACATAGTTTAGCAAAATCGATGAAAGAAATGACAACCACTATGTAGGCCAGTCACGATAACAACTTTTTGTTGTGCGATATATTGCCCCAGAAATAATTGTGATACGCGATATTATTGTCATTTTAAAGACCATTTTATGCCACTGAATATATAATCATAATGTAACAGCATAATAATGCAAAAAGGCCTACACACTTCCAAATGACAACAAACTTTTAATTTTTAAGAATATTTAGATCATGGAAATGAAGTATCAAAATATTAGATACCTTAAAAACCTGAATAAATAGTAAATAAACATTTTCTAACAAAAAGTGCAAAATAACAAGTAGAAAAAAAGAAAAATGCACAAATAACTTGTATGGAGATTTTTCCATCTACAGATTTTTCCCTGACCTTCTTTTCTCTGTAAATTAAGGGTGCACACTATTGCTGA